ACCGATTTAGCGTTTACTTACACTCATTTTGGTGTTAAAATACACCTTTTCAGTGTTAAATAGATGCAGCTGTGTGAACACCGAATTGGTGTAAATCTACACTACGAGTGTAAAATAATTACCTCCGAAGATCTTTTCACACTCTTTTGGTGTAAATAGCTTGCAGCTGTGTGAACACCGATTTGGTGTAAATCTACACTACGAGCGTAAAATAACACCTCCGAAAGTATTTTTACACTGTTTTGGTGTAAATAGCTTGCAGCTGTGTGGACACCGATTTGGTGTAAATCTACACTACGAGCGTAAAATAACACCTCCGAAGATATTTTTACACTGTTTTGGTGTAAATAGCTTGCAGCTGTGTGGACACCGATTTCGTGTAAATCTACACTACGAGCGTAAAATAACACCTCCGAAGATATTTTTACACTGTTTTGGTGTAAATAGCTTGCAGCTGTGTGAACACCGATTTCGTGTAAATCTACACTACGAACGTAAAATAACACCTCCGAAGATATTTTTACACTGTTTTGGTGTAAATAGCTTGCAGCTGTGTGGACACCGATTTCGTGTAAATCTACACTACGAACGTAAAATAACATTTCCGAAGATACTTTTACGCTGTTTTGGTGTAAAGCACCTTGCAGCTGTGTGGACACCAACTGGTGTTAATCTACACTACGAGCGTAAACTAACACCTCCAAAGGTCTTTTTACACTGCATTACGTACTTACTGAATACAGCTGTACTGATATGGTTTGTGATGTAAATGTACATCCAATTGATGTCTAAAGTAGCTATATTCAATATAAACTTAATGTAATGTAAAAATACCTTTTTGTATAAATGCTGCTTAAGATTGTATGTTATTAACTCAATTTAACTGAATTACTAAATTAAAACAATGAAGAGAATAGAAAGTACAAATGTAAATGATATATTTTTAGAGGTTAAAACTATAGTCTATGTTACATGTTTCGATTCAGTTGAATCATTTCAACATAGTTTATATCAGTCACAATCCAAATTAAAGTTCATATTACCAGTACAGGCGATTTGAAACCAATAGAATCTTTGCTGAATGGCACTTTGACACAGTCGAAGAAGAACACATCACTGTATATTGTAGCGCACAAAATCTACAAAGGTTTTGGTGTGCAACTGTCCTTCGTTAAACATTAATGGCCAGCAGGTTCCCTTGAAAGATAATTATTTTGCACTAGAGATTATTATAAAGAGTGCACTGTACCTTTTGTGGGTTTATGAGAAAGTATCAAACAACTTATAGAACAAACCCAATCTAATTTTTTGTTGGTGACATGTCAGAGTAAATATTTGAGATTTGGGTGGAAAGTCTGGCTAAACTATCAACAAGTAACACTTTCTAGGTCAAGTCGAGTGGTTTAGGGCATAGTATGATTTAAACAAGGCACATTGGCAGAGAGACCGTTTAAAACCAATCAACCAGAGGAGTAAACTTTTCTGGGATTAACATTTTTAGTCACAGTAAATAATAAACATAGTACATGTATATTTGGGCACTTTAAGTTTAATTCACTGTGAAGTTCTTTTGTATCATTTCAAATCAATATATTATAAAAAGCATCACTTTATAAACAGTTTATATCTTAATTGTGTAAACGTTCTCTGGTTAAAAGATTTATTTATTACAAGCTTTCGACTGCCAGTCTGCAGTCTTTGATGGGTCTCCGTTTGCAGACTGGCAGTCGAACGCTTGTAATAAATAAATCTTTTTAACCAGAGAATCCTGGTTTCGCTTCCAACATTTTTAAAGTTTATATCTTATTTTATATATCCTACATATATTTTATAATCACTCTATATCCAGTATTTGGCCGGATAATCTGGTAGGATATTTTCCATCCGTTCGGCATATATGGTATTCGGCTGGATAGTAAAATGTTCTATCAGGTGCATCCCTAATGCATAATAATTTCATTCTCATGGTAGCGGCAGGGAAATAATTAACACACAACTCTAAAGTTGCAATGACATACAACATGAAGTAACTGAAGAACATTTAAATTCAACCAGTTCTAGCTTGCTGCACATGTGTCTCAGGGTCTGTTATACAATGCCAGCTTTTCCCTTTCAGAACATGCCCTCCTGTGCCAATTTGTCTACAGTCCAAGTAAAATTTGTAGATAATCCTAACTAATTACCCCAAAACCTCATTAGCCTAAGTCAATATTTTTATTAAAGTTATACACTTGTCTTTTTTAAACTTTTTTCTCAGTCACAATGAGGGCTACCTTTAGGAAATACCTGGTTGCCAGATAAAACAATTGGTCACAATTGACGTTCACCTGGCATTTGGTCATTTCTAGGGCTGCACCAGATAGACATTTTTGCCATCCAGCCAGATTTCAGCTATGTCGGATAGTTGAAAGAAAGATATCCGCATTATCCGGCTGAATACTGTTGATATAAAGGTTTAGACTTTCATTTAAGATAAATAATTAGTTTAATTGATTATAAAATGAGGGTATTTATAATACTTTGACTTGAAAAGATACTTGAATTATAGGAAATAACTTCATTCTAAACATGGGTATTGCCAAAGCCATGTCCACAAAGTTCAAATCCAGTATCTGCCAATATACTGGATACTAGTAAGATTATCTCACTATCTGCCGATAGAGGGAGGGGGAAATTGCCCTGGGCCCCAACCTTAATAGGGCCCCAACTTGAGAGCCTAAAATTGAGTAGGTCCTTTAAAGTGTTTATGCAACGAATTTTCCGACATCGTTTTTTTTCGCAAATCTGAAAATATAATCTTTTCTGATCAAATTAATATATATATTATAGTGTAATATGTTAGTGCGTCTTGACGTAAATTAGGCTTAAAGTGAAGCAGTAGATGCGAATTTGTCCGCCATTTTGTGTGACGTCACAAGTAGGACAATGTACACGCCATTCATGTAAAATAAATACAGTGTTGGGAAGAAAGCATCATTTACGAACCTTTTTTCGCGGAAATATCGAAAGTTATTGAACCAAAATGTCTGACCGTCAATCCGAAAGTAGTGGCGATATATCTGGGCCTAATTTGTCCGCAGATGAGAGCTCAAACGGTGAAAATTACGGTGTTGTCGATATGCATCCTGACAGCAATGCTCCATATCAAGATGAGCCTCTCGCTATCGTAGGACAAGATTACGACTTTAGGTTCGAAGAAGACAGAGATGGCATTTCCCCAGAAACACTAGAAGCAAGGTTTACGAAGATATGTCCAGTAAGCCAGTGGTAAGCACCTTATTGACGCTTTATTACGCAGAATTCGCAATAGTATAAAGTCGATTCGACGTTGTTTGTTTATCTGCATATATTAATTATATATACTGTATACACACAAGTCGCAAAATATGAATAAACAGCTAGTCATGTCATAAATCATGATGTAAATGCTGTGTTTTATCATTCAGCACTATTCTTATTTTACTAGCTTCGAAAGTAGGCCTACCTCTTGTATATTTATACTACATTTCAAAGTTAAAAAACATGCCATTTGTATTTGTACTGCCTTCAAAAGTGGTCGCGCAATAATCATGCTGCTGTATCTCTAATCTCTACTAGGTGTTCGTGTACCTTCTGCTCTGATGAACTGCTTGTTGGCGCCCTCGAATATCGCTGCTGCCGCGAGGTTGTTTGTGCTATGGGGAAGGCAGTTTTTGATGGCTCTATAGAGAGAATTAAATGCATAACTGAGCATGAAGATTACAACCCCATGGTCAACGAAGCCGTTTTGACTATGGTGGGTCCCTTACTGAGAGGTAGTGATGGACGTCCATACAAGCGAAAGACAGGGCAAAGTAAAAACGAGTAAGTCGTAAAGTCACAAGGGCTATTGCTTTTACTAAATTTTTCGTCTATTAGATGTCTGTCATGCTCAAGCTTTGATTCCAAGTAGATTTGCTCTTTCATTTCTGGTAGAAACTTCACAGTTTGCACTAAAAAAATAAAAAGATATAATGGAGAATATATTCACAGTGAAAAATAAATGGTAATTACTCTCATTAGACATGTTCCAGCAATATCATGGTTGTCATCATGATCATCACAATTCACCCCCCAAATAATGCCCTACCAGCATACTGTATACACTAGGCCTTCATATTTCTCTTACTGTATATTCTCTAACTTTTTGCTGTTGCCAAACAATTTTACTCCTCTACATAAGTGAGAACTAGCCTCCCTCGCAGCCCCTTTTTGTAAGTTGAATTGTACAGTATTGCAGTACCGGTATCAATCTTAGCAATTTTTTTCTTGTAGATATCTACGAGCTGTGGCATACCGATGGCTCATACGATGGTTTTGTGGTTACCTTGGGTGGGACAATAGGAGACCATTACCAGCCTGCATCTACCATCATCTTAGAAAGAAATTTCCAAGTGGCAATACTACAGGCTACTTGCTTGCAGAACAGACATAATGGGAAATGACTGATACCAATATAACTAACTGGTATATATATATAATATATATATATATATATATATATATATATATATATATATATATATATATATATATATATATATATATATATATATATATATATATATATATATATATATTTTCGTTTTACCTCAAAAAACCACAACAGTCTGTTTCATCCGTATAGGAATCATCAGGTGGTGAATAATTTCGAAATTGTAGGTTGCTTTTATGCTATCGAAAGAATGTGCGGAATGCGTGTAGGCGAAACAATGCTTAGGTGAAACAATGTATGCTTGGGTCATTAGGTTTTGTTAACGACCTTGTTTACTCGAAACCGGTTTTTGTGACGACATTTGTCGAAAATTTCGCTTCTTTTATTGAGTAAATTGTCTTTGTTTATGTCTTTCAAAATGCAAAATTTTTCTTCCAAACATAAATTGCAGCGTTTTGATCCCCCTGTGTACGAAATAGCGTGTTTTAAAATTGACCATTTGATGGTATAATCCTGATTGTTTTCTTTTTAAAATTATAACTGTGATGAGATTCTTGGATGAACTTCCTGTATGATGAGAAAGAACTTTAACATTTTAAGCAAAGGTCCTTCATCAGATGGCTATGTAGTATGTACAGTAGTGAGTATAGTCACAGTTCCTTGAAGAAACTTCTTGCACATGATGTATAGGCAGTGTGGTATACCTCAATTGATCTAAACTTACATCAACTGAAACAAACTTACACACTTCCTGTAAGTTTATACTGTAGGTTTGTACTGTAAGTTTGTTTCAATTGACCATGAAAGCCATGGACATTATACCTGTAGTGCCATAAATATCTATTCTATTTGTGTAACTATACCTGCAGTATGTGCCTAGCCAAGAAAAATGTTGCATCTTAGGGTGCCAGTGGTTGAGGGTTGAGTGAAATCCTTCAAGGCAACTGGTTTGACCATCACAAGAAAGTTTCTTGATATCAGCCAATCTCTTTGTGTCCAACAAAATCATGGACAATCTGTCATGAGTTGATGTACCTGTCAACAATAATAGAAATTGAACTATAATGCTCAAGTAGTTTCACCTTACAGCGTTATTATTAAATACAAATTTTGGAGAGAGTGAAATACCGGTAGTAAAACTCATATATGCATGTACATCTGTGACCATTTGGGTTGTTACTGTACATTAATATATTGTTCTACTGTACATATTGTTATCACTAGGATAGGCATTTGGAACTAATACACACAGGCGAGGTACTGTAGGCCTAGTCATACTGTCATAAGGACATTTTGTGACAATGCAACACTTGCAAGACTAAGTACTTACCCTTGTGAGTCAAGTTAGATTTTTATTTCGTAAACTTACCCACTGGGATCCATGCTCGTGGCTCAACCTCACCATGCGCACATTCAGTATAAAGCTCATCAGGGTGATCTTTATGTTTGTTTGAAATGTGCCGAATCAATGACACCCATTTGGCAACAACCATTTCTCCAAAACCCTGTCTTGTAGAACGGGCACACCAGTATAAATGACGGCTGATAGATTTCATCCAAAGTTGTATCACCTCGTTTCCTTTTTCCTTGCTAGCATCAAACAACTTCTTCTTCAAACTCTTATTTACATGCCAAAGGTCATTGTAATGCTGTACATCAGGATGGGTTTCACGAATCCATTTAGCAACACCTAAGTGGCGATCACTGATAAAGGATGACACTTTCAAACCTTTTTC